TGGGAGGCTGAACCAGGGGAATCGTAGGGCAAACCTATGTAGCTTCTTTTACATAGCAAGTCTCAAAAAACTAAATACCACTAATACTAATACTAATGGACCAGCAAGATGGCTCAGCAGGTAAAGGCTCAGCAGGTGGATCTCTGTGAGTTCGAGGCCAGCCTGATCTTCAGAGCTAGTTCCAGGACAGGCCCCAAAGCTACAGAGAAACCCTGTCTCGAAATAACAACAACAACCCCCCCAAAACCAAACCAAAACAAAAGAACAAGACAAACTCTCAAGGATCCCAGGATACAGGTTAGGATACAGGTTAGGTGTTAGTGTCAGGAGGGGACCTGGGTCCCTGAGCCACACCCCAGCATGTCCTTTCATCTCTTTACTGTCACCTCCTGTTACTTAATATATGTGAATTTCTATAATTAAATTTTTTTAAGGTAGCCCAGGCTGGCCTTGAACTCACTACGTAACTGAGGCTGGCCTTGAATTACAGTTTCCCTGCCTCCACCTTCCAAGTGCTCCGGTCACGGATGAATACTTACAACACGGGGTCTCCTCCATCCCAAGAATACAGCACTTGCTGCATTTCATGCCCCGTGAGAAGCCACTGGACAGAACGATCTAAGGTGGGCTTCCCAGGGCTCCATTCTCTAGAGCAGCGGTTCTCAACCTGAGTGGAGAACTCCTTGGGGGTAAGAGCGACCCTCTTATGGGTCACCTAAGACCACTGGAAGACAGATATTTAATTATGATTCATAACAGTAGCAAAACTACAGTTACAAAGTAGCAACGAAAATCATGGTGGCGCAGGCCTTTAATCCCAGCACTCGGCAGAGGCAGGTGAATCTCTGGGAGTTCAAGGTCAGCCTGGGCAACAGAGCTAGTTCCAGGACAGGCACCAAAGCTACAGAGAAACCCTGTCTCAAACCATCCCCCCCAAAAAATGTAAATTACATTTATTTATTTGTGCGGCTGTAGAGACGTGAACGTGATACAGTGTGCTTGTGGTCATCGGAGGAAAACCTGTTGGAGTCGGTTCTCTCCTTCCACCAGGTCCTGGGGGGTCAAACTCAGGTAGGTGGTCAGGTTTTGTGGCAAGCACCCTTCACTGTTGAGCCATCTTGCCGACCCCAGTGTACTTTTTAGTGTGTGTGTGTGTGTCTGTGTGCGTATGTGTGTGTTTGTCTGTCTGTCTGTGTGATACACAAGTCAGAAGACAGTGGCAGATGTCCTGGGCCAGAGTCACAAGCAGTTGTGAGCTGTCCACGGTAGGTGCTGAGACTGGAACTCTGGTTCTCTGTGAGAGCGAGCGCTCTTAACTGCCCGGCCGTGTTATTCATTTTCTGTGGGGGAAGTGGGGGCCTGAAGGCTGGAGAACAACCTGCAAGTGGGAGACACCTTGCAGCACCATGGGCCCTGGGAACCGGACTCAGGGCGTCAGACTTGACAACAAACACCTTTAACCCACCGAGCCATCTCACCAGGCTCTTTTTAAAGTCACATTATTATATTATATTATATTATCATTACACATAATAATAATAATCCAAGCAACGGAGCTCCACCTTGAACTTCTCATCCTCCTGCTTCTCTGAAAGGAGGGAGTTTTGGGAGTTGCTGTCTGCACCATACCACGAAGTGTCTATCTGGTGCTGTGGACTGAACCCAGGGCCTCATGCATGCGAGGCAAACGCTCTGCCAATGGAGTTACATCCCTGGCCCTACTCTTCAAGACTCTTAGAATTTTGCCCTTTCATGGCCGGCGGTTAATGATTCTGAGATAGGGTCTCATTAAACAAACATTCCAGGGACGCAAGATGTCAACTCAGCTCTGTGAATCTTTCATCAGGGGGCGTTACCGGCCCTGTCCATCAACCCAGAATAAATGGCTTGTCATTGCGTAGCTCTATGCTTGAAGGGCTGAGGCTTGTTAGGACAACCCTCCTTCCCTCAAAGAATGTGAGGGAGGCTATTCTTGGCTCTGTCTGTCACTTCCCATGCTGCCACGGCTCCCAGGACAAGTCACGCTGTTCCTTCTAGCCCTCTGAGGATATGGGCAAAGCGTCGCTACTACCCAGCACGGTTCCTCAGATGGGGCCGGCCGAGCTTTTCCTTCTGCGGAACGTTGCAGAATGCTGTACTCCCTGTTCAGGCCAGTTCCTGGTATTCATTTGAAAGAGCTGTCCAACCTGGCAAGCCACCTCACACTGGGCAGGGCCTGACAGGACAGCCATCCTCTGCCTACACTGCAGGCTCTGCTGAGTCCTTGAAGACACCCAGCAGCCCTGTTTCGTGAGGGCTCACTGCCCTCAAGGCCTTGGGGAGCTGAGTTCCCTTCAGTTATCAGGAAGCTCAAGGCTAACCAGACAAGGGGGTTCAGGGGGAAGAGAGATGAGGGAAGGGCGTTCTAAGCTGGTGGTGGCCTCGCAGTTCAGGATAAAGCGAGAACCTGACGTTCCCAAGGGGTAGGCAGCAGGGGTGAGACTGAGGAGCCCAGTTTGGGGTCACCAGAGTCACAGAGATCACTGGACACAGTGCTGTCCAGGACCTGAACCAATGGGAACAGGAAGAGTCAGCAAGGAAGGGGCATGAACAGGAAGGGGGCAGAAAGGGGCAGAAGGGACAGGGGCCTGGCAGCAGCCGAGACTGGCATGAGGGGTGGTGAGGAGACAGGCTGTCAGCCTCAAGGTTTCTGAGTTGCAGGTACTATGCGTCCCACAAACGCCCTGATGGGTCTGCCTCCTAGTCTTGGTGCTGAGGCTGGGAAAGAAGATGGGAGAACCAGTTAGGGTCCTTCATAGAGTCTGGGAAGTCCTAACTCTTGACACCCGGGATAGTGACAGTCACAGGTGTCCCGAGATGCAGCTTCTAAGAGGTCACTTGTTTTTGTTTTTTGTTTTTTTGTTTTTTTTTGAGACAGGGTTTCTCTATAGCTTTGGAGCCTGTCCTGGAAATAGCTCTTGTAGACCAGGTTGGCCTCGAACTCACAGAGATCTGCCTGCCTCTGCCTCCTGAGTGCTGGGATAAAAGGCATGTGCCACCACTGCCCGAGGTCACTTGTTTTTGTTTTGACATTTTTAATCTGTTGTGCGTGCATGCAGGCATGCGTGCACACGTCAGAGGACAGCCTGCAGGAGTCAGTTCTCTCCACCCATGGGGGTTCTGGAGCCATCTTGCCGGCCCTAACAGTCATTTTTGAAAAGTGGATGAGGACTAAGGAGTCTGGAGACAATGAAGTCAAATGACAGATGGCAGCTGTGGCGCCGACAGAGACTCCGGGTGGCTTCGGAGTCAACTCTGCTCAAGTCCTGACCAAGCCACACGGGTCCCGTGAACCTTTCCTTCTATAAACCACATGGGAAGCCACAATGGGATCTTTAATGGAACCAGAGCTGCTGCTGCCGAGAGACACTTTTCCCCCTCCCTCCAGCATCCCCTGCAATGCAACAAGTGAGCAACAAATAAACCGCCATCATCTCTTCCTCCGCAAGAGGGGCCTTTGCGCAGGCCTGGCTCAGAAGTGGGAGCGGCACGCGGAGCTGCTGGCTGTGGTGTTCTAAACGCACGTCCTCTTCTGCCCGTTGGTCCTCTTCCCCGGGGAGGGTCCAGCTCCACACCCACAGCTTCGTCCTGTCACTGGGGGTATGGGCAGCTGGTGGCTACCAGAGGAGCTCCAGGGCCTGGGCCTGGGACCAGGAAGGTGCTGATGGCCACCGTGTGCCTGTTTGCTAAAGCAAGTCACTGTAATTGCATTGTTCATTTTCCTCAGAGGTGAGCATGTGGCTTTGTGGGTTTTTTCCCTCCTCTTCCTCCTTTTCTCTGAAGCAGGCTAGCCTGCAGATCATTTGCATAGACCAGGCTGGCCTGGAACTCACATACCACAGATCTACCTGACTCTGTCTCCTGAGTGCTGGGATTAAGGATTTGTACCACCATGCGCTTGCCTCTTTTTTTGAGGCTAGGCCTCAAGCTTGTGGTCCTCTCAAATGCCACAGCTGGCTCCAGGGCCCCTTCTGAAATAGGCTGGCAGATATATGCGGGGGTCAGAGAGTACAGGTGACTCTAAGGGTTCACAAGCTAGGACCAAGCCAATGGTCCAAGTTGATACCCAGTGACATTAACCTAAAGCCAGCCTCCGGCCTGGAGAAAAGAAGACACGAGTTATGTCCTTTGGCCCAGATGCTGCGCAAAACCCACTGTGCAGAGCGAATGGGAGGGCCTAAGGCTTTCCCACAACGAAACACAGGACTTCAGGCAAGGTGCCCGTGGGGGCTATAGCCAACTTCCCTCCAGCAACTAAGCATTGTCCCTAAAGTCTGCGTAGCTGCCTTAGCACCCCAGAGGTGTGTTGCCCCAGGAGTACGCTGTCCAGAAGACAAGGACGGTAGACTCAGCAATGGATCACAGCATCAAGTCCCCCATTGGCTTTCCCTTACTCCGGTGCTGGGTGGGAGGGGACAGACTGTGTGTTCCCTCACTTACATGTTGACACTCTAACGTCACAATGGAACTATGTTTGGAGATAAGACCTTTAGATCAAGGACTGTGTTGAAATGAGGTCAGGAGAGTGAACCCAATCCCACAGGGCTAATGTCTTCATAAAATGAGCACAGGACTCAAAGTAAGACATCCCGGGTGCACAGAGGACAACTCGGGAGAAACTCAGCGGGGAGTCAGGCCTGCTGACACCCACCTAATCTCTCAGTCACAGATTCTAGAACCCTGAGGACTGTCAGTCAGCCTGAGCAATGCTCAGATGAAAAGCAAGGAAGGGGGTGCCTCAGGGCCTCGAAATTTCCTGACAGTCATATAGTAAAACCTTGAATTTCCCCAGAACCAAGTGGGAAGACCAAGCCCAACCTGGGCAGTCCCCAGGGAAATCCACTGTCCAATTAGCAAGGCTAAAGAGAGGGAGGGAGGAGCTGGTGCTTTGGTGGCCTGTGTGCTGGGCTCCTTAGGAAGCTGCACCCTGACCTGACTCGCGAAGCTGGTCAAGCCCTTACCTTGCCACCTCCTGGTTGGTGCTTCAGGTTCTCAGTGGAGCCAATCTTGGACTTGACATTCTTCAGGTCTGGCATGGGCACAGGGGCGGTCTGTAGGCGGCTCTTACTGGCAGAGGGCGACTTGGGGGGAGTGCGGACCACTGCCACCTTCTTGGGCTCCCGGGTGGGCGGCGTCGGTAGGGATGGGGTGCGGGAGCGACTGCCAGGGGTCCCAGGGGAGCCGGGGCTGCTGTAGCCGCTGCGTTCTCCGGATTTTGGTTGTTCACCTGGAGGGTGGGGAGAGAGGAAGGAACTGAGGCCAGGTGGATGGGGATCTGCAAAGTCCCTGAGGCCACTGGAGGGGGTGTGTGTGGGGGGGTGTGACCCACTGCTAGGCTCCAGAGGGGAATCTGAGAGAGGCCCATTTGTGAAGAAGTGTCTGCTCCTGCCCTGTCACTTAGACACAGTGACAACTATTTCTCAATAAAGCGATTGCATTCTCATTAGTGCTCCAACACATGGTACCTCCTCCTCCGGGGATGGCCCGACTCTCCTCAAGCCCTGACGTGTCCGCGCCGGCTCTGTCCACCCTCCTCCCTTCATCCTTCACCCCCACACCCTTCTGTGCTAGTACTAAGTAAGCCGAGGACACACCTAGAGTTCACTGAGCCACCACACCCCTGGGTTTTTTGTTTTGTGTTTGAAAACCTCTACTGTTCACGGCAGGAGGTGGGACCTGTGATATGCAAATTTTTGGGCCCCCATCCAGATCTGATAGAGGCCTGTAAAACTGGCCTTTCTTAGGCTTTCCAACCGGCAGGAGAAACAGCGCAGCAAACACGCTTACTGCAGCCAATCTCTGCCCATACACCAATGTCAGTCTCCACTTCCAGGTCTTAGTAACCCCTAAAGCATCAAAGTTCTGGGATATGTGGAGCCACTGCTACTCTGGGATTAGCTCTGCCTACATGTCCCTTGGGACACAGGACGGTGGTGACTTATGTTCTTTTCTTCACACTAGTGAAGTACCTTGAGTAAGCCAATGACCCTCACGATGCCCACGTCCTCATCTGAAAGATGTGGGAGATCAGAGCTCTCATGACCTTATTTTGAGAAGGGTATTGGGGGTGTGTGGAGAGGTGTAGGGGTTTGACCTCCGACAGAGAGGTGGCTCAGTAGTTAGGAGCACTGGCTATTCTTCTAGAGGACTCAGATTCTATTCCCGGCATCCACATGGCGGCTCACATCTGTCTGTAACATCTCAGAGTGAAGTATAATTCCTCTTCTTTTTTTCAAAATGATTTATTGTTTTTTATTTTATGTACATTGGTTGGCCTGTATGAGGTTTCTGGAGCTACAGACAGTTGTAAGCTGCTATGTGATTGCTGGGAATTGAACCCAGATCCTCTGGAAGGGCAGCCAGTGCTCTTAATCACTGAGCCATCTCCCAACCCAGAAATGACATTTCTTAACAAACAAAACAAAAAAAAACTCAGCCCAAGAACTTCTAACGATTTCTGAAGTTGCTCTAAACTTACTTCGGCCATTTTCTTTACTACATATTTACGTGAAGTAGTGTATTCTTAAGATTCTAAGATCAAAATATTGATCAAGTCTGAAAAATGCTGAAGATACCACATGCTCAGTAGTGTCAAAATTTTTTGTGTGTGTTTGATGTGTGCAGTGTATATGTCCTATGATGTGTGTGTCATATGAATGCAGGAGCATGCAGGCCATGATGTGTACATGTAGGTTAAAGGACACCTTGGGTATTAGTCCTCAAGTTCTACTTTGTTTTATGTGATCAAAAAGACCAGAATAAAACAAAACAAAAGAAAAAGAAACAAAGAGAAAAAAAAATTCAGCCCAGCAAAACCCTCTGCCTACCAGTGACACCTTGCCACTAGAACTTAGGTTCGAGACAGTCCAAACCTCCAGCACCCCCCCCCATGTCTCCAGGCATATGCTCCCCACCCCACAAATAGCCCTAGTCCCTGAAGGAAATGCAGACACCCAGGATGGGTATTCACAGATGCCCCCAGTACAAACCACACTTGAAGAGAAAAGTAAACATGATGTTTCGAACCTGGGCCTCTCTGGGATAGCCTGGGCTGGAAGCAGGAGGCCCTCCCAGCCTTGCAGACAAGCATAGGGGGCAAAACACACACCAAGAGGGTCGGCCCACCCAGAGCAGTGGACCCGGAATTACCTCTCTCAGATTTTGTCCCTGCAGGGGGTGGTTTTCTCTGCTCTTGCTTGGAAACTTAAAAAGAAAAAAATCCACAGACAGCCTCATTATAATCAGGCTCACAGGGGTCTCTGTGAGTTCTTCAGGTGGCAGCATCTGGCTGGTCCACCTAGTATAAGAGACAGAAGCAGGAACAGGTGCGGGACCAGTGAGGAAGATGCAGCGTCAGTGTGGAGCCACCTAAGGGCAGGTGAGATTGGAGGAGCAAGGCGAGCACTTGCTCCAGGCTACTGTGTGACTGGGGCCAGCACAGCGCTGAGGGAAAGCGCTGGGATGAAAATCCACTTGACGCGCCGTTAATGCTAGTAGATCATCAGTGCACAAGGGACATAGCAGATGCAGTTACTTAGTGTAAACACAGCCCAAATGGCAGGCCGTACCCTTTACAATGCCAGGCAGAAGCATGCAGCGGGCAATAGGGGCTGCCTCTGGCCAGGAGGGCAGTGGCACCAAGAGCCAGGCCAGACACAGAGGCCCACAGGTCTCCTGGGTACCACTAGGGAGCAAATACAGGCCGGACAGCACAGAGTCAGTCACATAGCATCAAGTGCCTTCTGGGAGCAGCTCCCCAGGGGTTCTTTCTTTCTGTTCCTGGTATCTCTACAGGACATGAAACAGCCCACTGTAGCCTGGTCAGGTTCTCAATGCCAACTGGATTTTATTTACAGGAGGCCGGAGTAATGACCATGGCATGTCAGTGCTCAGCTAGAACCCTTAAATTTTGCTAGAAGATTCCTAACATCCCGGCTGCATGAGGTGGATTTGCGGGAGATCCGCACAATATCCTGCCCCGGCTACTGCTCCTCCAAAGCGGCAAGGGACCTAAAAACACCTCATGCTGGGGCTACCTCCCCAGAGCCAAGGATTAGGGGGTATGCTCCTTCCCTGCCACTCATTAGCCACATGATTGTGTTTTCCTCATGCTTTCAAAATGAGCAAGATCTCTTCATTGGCTGAAAGGCAAGGGTTCATTGTCCACCTCAGACAGATGCTCCAGCGCTCAGCAAACTGCAGCAAACTGTTAGTCGGTGCCAGGGGTTTCTAATTGTCAGTGGCCTCCTGAGGCGAGCGTTACACCTCCTGGAAGCTTCTGGATTAAGACTCCAGAGAGCCTTCTCACCTGAGCCTGGAGGGGTCTTTGGGCTGGGCGTGGTCTTGGCCGGGATCCTGGTGGCGTTGGATGTGCCCTTCTGGCCTGGAGGGGCTGCTCCCCGAGGTGTAGCGATCTTGGTTCCAGTTTTACCATCGGCCCCCTGTAAACCGAATCAGGGTAAAAGGTTTCACCACTGGGAAAGGTGACTGACTATCTCCAAGGAAAGGTCAACCCCACCCTCCCACCTCGACTGGAAGAAGGTGAAGGTGGAGGTGGATGCTGGAAGGGTCTCGCACAGTCTTGAGGGTTTGTGGGGCACACAGCACCCCCAATTCACCGGCACATCAAGTATCAGGTTCCTGTCTCCTCTTAGAGGAACTGTGAGCTCGCCTGTGTTATAAAATGACAGCAGTACTTGGAGCCAGAGCAGGGTCAGGGTAGACCAGTAGGCTGACCCAGGAAGACCAGGCTGTGGGGACACCCCTTTCCAGATTCCTCACTACAGACGTAGCTGACGGAGGCTGGGTTCACCAGAGGCCTCCTGAAGACACTTGTGCTTTGGCCTTCAGCAGAGCACGCAACAGCCAAGCCATGTCTTTTTTCTTCTCTCTCTCCATGGCCCTGGGGTCTCTGTGACTCCTTAGGTGTGCTAAGAACCTTTGGCCGTGAACACTGGTGGAAAGCTGGGAGCCACAGGTGGGGCAGACATAATCAGCAGATTGTGAGTGGCTACAGATCTGGTGGTCAGTTAGATGCCCGTTAGACGGGGTATGAACTTCACAAAGAAATCACATGAACCACAAACTCCGGAGGAAGCAGAGAGAGAAGGAGCTGCTGGGATGGATGCACCCACCTGGAGGTTTGGCCAGCTACCATAGGAACTCTAGAAGGACCTGAGGTTTTCTTCGTCATTTATTTTTATTTTTTAATTAATTAATTGGTTTTTTTTTGGGGGGGGAGGTTGAGACAGGGTTTCTCTGTAGCTTTGGGGCCTGTCCTCAAACTTGTTCTGTAGACCAGGCTGGTCTCAAACTCAGAGTTCTGCCTGCCTCTGCCTCCCAAGTGCTTGGATTAAAAGCATATGCAAGCCACCACTGCACGGTTTAACTTTGGCTTTTGAGACAGGGTTTTACTGTGTAACAGTCTTAGCTGTCCTGGAACTCGCTCTGTAGACCAGGCTGGCCTCGAACTCACAGAGATCCTACTGCCTTTGCTGGGATTAAAGGTGTGCGCTGCCACCGCGTGGCTATTTTTACTTATTTTTTTTAAGAAAAAAAGTTTCTCTGTATTCTGGGCTGGCCCCCACATCTTAGTCCTCAGGGGCTGAAATTAAAAGCATCACCACACCTGACTTCTTTTTTTGTTTTTATGTTTAAACAGAGACTCACTCTGTAGCCCAGGCTAGCCTGTAACTTACTCTGTAGCTCCATCTTCCTCAGTGTTGGAGTTGGTGACAAGCATCAGGTACCGTGCTCAGCTTAGAGCCTCGGTTTTGAGGCCGGGGTCCTCTGGTTATCTTGGGGACTGCTTTTTTAGGGGAGAGGGGGCAGGAAGCACAGGCCCTAGTTCCTGGTCCCCTCCCTGTCCCTTCTTCAACCATCTAGTGCTGCCTGTGAGTTTAGGGCACGAGAGCGTTTGAACACCACGGTACAGCAGCCTGCGCCTCACCAACGGTTATTTCCTTACCTTGAGTTTCATCTGCTTTGTTCCAGGACTGCCATTTCGGGGTGTGACAGAAGAGACGTGTTTAGGAGAGGTGGCTGGCTCAGGGCACTCGGCAGGGCTGGAGGGTTTGATCAAAGGGTCTGAGCTACCAGGACTGGGGCGTGTGGGGCTAAGGCAGGGCCTATTGCTCAGGGTTCTAGCACAGGAGGGTGTGGATGTCTTAAACATAAAGATAAATAAAATCAAAATAAAAGTCAGCAGTGGGGGAGGGAAACAAACTGAAACAAAGGACAAAAAACTAAACATAAAGAAGGCGGGCCACAGGGCAAAGCAGCACTGTCAGTAAGAAAGGACGGCAACCTTGTCCTCTATCAGTTACACACAAGCTGCACAGCTGCCGTGGGATGGACATGATTAAAATCACACAGCACAGAACTTCTGAAAGAGATGCTGAAGACGTATAGACGTTCTGGTACATTTTTTTTCTCTAGCAACTGGGCCTTGTTGTGCCTTCTACTTGCAGAACACTGGCTTAAGGGTGCTTGGTAAGAACCGGGAGACCGTTGGAGAGAAGGCAGCAAGATGTTCCCCAGAAAGAACGCCAGTGTGTCATGGGTCGCTCAGCCTCAGGAGAAGCACCCACTGGGGTTCACTGACACCCACCTTCTCTTTCTGCCATGCCAACAGAATCCTAATCCTTTAAGGAGGACTGTGCTGGAGTCAAGCAGAGGCTTCTGGGGACACACACATGCCACAGGAACACACACATACACGCACATACAGGCATTCACACACATACAACGTGCATATGCACACGGACACACGCACATACACACATACTTTCTGATTAAACGAAGGCGAAACTAATCTTAATGCTATCTAGAGAGTCTTGATCTGGCCAAAGTTAACACCAGAACATACTCCACCTGAGGAAATGAGTGTCTGCGAGGCTGGATGTTCTCCAAGCAGGGCCCGGCTCCCTGAACCAGGGGTACCTAAAGGCTGAGGGCTGACACTCATGGTTGCTCTGGGGACTCTGACCAGCAAGGGTGGCCCTGATATGATGCAGGGTGAGACCAGACCCTTGAATAAAGAACCGCGAGTGTGGGGTGCTCTGTGGAGTCCTGACCAGACTGCTGTGCTGTTCCTGTGTGTTTCCTCATCCCTTCGCTGAAGGGGCTGGGGCCCAGTCTGTGCCACGAGTGTCAGGAGGGAAGGGCAAGGGGGAAAAGCTAGAGCGGGTACCAGAGCCCCTTCTTCCCTAGCTGGACAAGACCCCTTCCACGGGCAGCATTCTCGGCCCAGCCTTGCCCCTGCTATCCTGTGAGCCAATCCAGGGCAGGGACTGTGTACTAAATGAACACATACATGAAGAGTACATGCACACTTGTGCAAGGCAAGGCCAGGACTCCCTGCCCCTTCCCCGAGAGCAAAATGAGCATCAGGACTGACTGACGCGGCTGTCGCTCCCGGTTCAAGAAGTGGGGCAGGGCTAAGTCTCTGCACCGGGCTCAGTTGCCTCTCTCTGAGCACCCATGACAAGGAGTCCTAAAGAGTGGAGAACAGGGCCTTCTGGGAGTGGTCCTCAACTGCCGCTACCAGATCCTAGCACCAGCATCCACCTCTGGAGACTCACTGAGGCTCTGGCACCCACTACAGGCCAGGTAGTTCCAGGTTGCATTCACGCTGGCTACCCAGCGGATCCAATCTGGGCCGTGGTGGGATTTTTTTCAGGAAGACACCACTGCACAGCTTTAGGGGTTTCTAAGATAAAAAATCATGGAGGGAGTGGACTACAGATTAAAAAACAAAGGATTAGCGGGGCTCGGGATGCTTTATCTACTGGGCTAGGGTGCAGAAGACTGACAAAGGCTTTTCTTAAATCGTGTCTTCCATCCCACACTTTTCGACACTCCATTTCAAGGAGGTGCTGCTAATTCAGAGCCTAAGCAATTCTACAAACAACTCAGCAACCAAGGCCACCTGCCCATTCTCCCTAGACTCAGCTAGTCTGTCCCTTCTTCCCAGGTCTGCTATTTCCTGCTCTGGGGTGGGGCGGGTGGGAGACAGCAGGGCTCCTCCCATTTGCCTCCCAGCTCTCCTCTTCGAGGGCTCACCCAGAATCCTCCCTGCTTTTGTCTGAAGATTGTTTCTCCCTCAGGCCTCTCTGATCGCCCAGTGTACTCTGCAGATATTAAATACGTTGTGTTTACTGAGCCTAGATCAGTGCTAGTAAGGGTGGGAAACGCACGTCCCAACATTCATCACAGAAAACTCACACGCGCCTCTATTTAAACTATGAGGAAATGACAAGAGGAAGAACTGAGTAACTAAGTATCAAGAGAGAAACTCTGCCATTGTAAACAGCAGCTGCACTCTAGAGACAACTGCTTTCCACAGCAGACACAGCACGGGGCAGAGCCTCCTGGCTGGTCAGGAGCTCACCTTTGCTTTCTTCTCGTCGCTTCCAGTCCTGTCTTTGCTGACACCGGCCACTCGAGCTGAGAAAATACAAAACGAGAAAGCACATGACGCCCCGTGCTTAAGGTTTGCAGACACACCAGAGTTGAGGGGTGGCCCTGTGAATTCGCTTTGGTTGACACAGGGCTGATTTTCTTAGTCCTCAGACTTACTGAGTCTTGCATCGTTAGTATCACACAGCACACAGGGCCATTGTTCAGAGCAACCTGGCAAGAGGGGGCGGCAGCCTGGCTGAGGGTGGGGACATGCAGCGGGAAGGCAGCAGGTGCTGTTAGAGGTGCCGGATGACCTGTGGCTGCGGCAAGCTCACTCTCTAGCCTGGCCAACCACCCTGAATGCAAGGCCAGTTAAACTCCCCAAGGCTAAGGGCTAAGGATCCTTGTATCAGAGTGGGGTCTCTCTCTCTCTCTCTGGCTTTCCTGTGAGATCTCCGCTTACCCTCTAGGGCCTCAAGGCTGAAGTGAAACCACCTCCATTTCCCTACCCCACCTTCTTGGCCATCTTATGCTGACCATCCCAACCCCCACTCCAGGCCACTTGCTACCAGAATAGATGAGCCCAGTGGGGAAGATTCTCCCCTTTGCTGCAGAGTGCAGCCCTTAACCCGAAGCAACTCACTAACAGGGACCTTCCACATCAGCCCCAGCTGCTTTTGAAGGAGTCCTACGCTGACACAGCCCAGCCGTGAGGGCACCTTGTCACTCCCCAGGGCCCTTCAGATATGCCACATCCTGCTGAAGGAACCCAGCATCACTGTTAACCTGCAGGCAGATGAAGACTGAACTCACAGAGTGACCAGCGCTGACTCTCCGGCCCAGGGTTCTCCCCATTTTACTGTGGAGGAGTCACCTGGGAGGTAGCATACAGACTCCCAGGTGCACTGAGGCTGGGTATGCAACCAATAGGTACCCAGGAATCTGCACGGCAATAGGAGATCCATGGATCTTATCCATTCATTTCTCTGTCAACCATGTTGTATCTGTTTAGAACAAATGGCTGTGCCAATTCAATTCTGACTCAGGGGGGGATAAACCGTACCATTTCCGCAAGGCTAATAACCACAAGAGTGCCAACTGTTGTGATTGATCCTGGGACACAGCCTGATGGAGTAATCCCGACCCTACCTGCGAAAGCAGTTCTTTAGAATGCTTCTGTGCAGTTTCTGCTGCGCTGCCCTTTGTGACTGTGTTGCAGTGTGGCTAATACCCTCTCCCACTTTCTGTGCTGGTGAATTCTTCCCCTGGAGCAACCCACTTATCACTGCCCTTATTGGGAATCCGCCTGCTAGATCAGCACTTCCTGAATCCAGGGAGAAACAAGCCCTGTTCTGGGAGATGTTAGCAGGGTATCAAATGCATCTGGGAAATCCAGAGGACCCATACTCCTTAGAGGGTCCCTGTGCACAGCAAGAGCTCCGATGAGTCCCACAACCATGGAAGTTGTTGAGCTTTGTTTAGCCTGTTTTTTCCCTTTCTAAATTCTCTGTGTCTTATCCCTACCCCTACCCCACACACCTGTCAACACCTAGAGGACCAGAATTTGATAGAACATTATTTTGGAAAAATCCAAGGCAGTCATTTGTCTTTCTTTGCCTTAGAGTTTAAAACAGGACATAGGTTTCCCCTACTCTGCCTTAACTTTTGTTTTAAGACAGGGTCTTATGCTCATCACGTAGTCCAGGTTGACCTCAAACTTGCAGTGATCCTTTTGTCTTAGCTGGAATGGGCTGGAATGGCAGGCTTGTGCCACCATCCTGACAGGCTCTTCTATTTATGATATTGGAGTGTTCTCTATAAGTGGAATTTAGTCAGTAGTTAGCAGATGCGTTTCACTCTGTGTTGAAGAAGCATCAGGTTCTGGGCCCCACAAATAATTCTAAAATGTCAAGTAGTCTACCTGGACATATTTATTTATTATACAAGAGCACATGAACGTGTGTGTGCTTGTACCACATACATGCCACCATATGCACAGGGAGGTCAAAGGACAACCCGAGTTCTGACCCCCACAGTTGTCCTCTGACCTCTGAACTCATGGGGCAGTGTGTCCTTGCATTATGTGGGTCTTGGGGCTGGAACTTCCGTCATTAGGTTTGGTGGAAAGAATCTTTACCCACTGAGCCATTCGAAGGCCCAGATGCCAAGTATTCTAAAGTCTTAAAGCCATGAACATCGCTGCCTGGAGGCTGCTCCCACCCTGTAGCCTCCACAGGGCTCCAGATGGGGCTGCACACAGGGACCCGGCCTGTCCCTGACTGACAGGAGGGTCACTTTAGACCTGGAAGATACTTTATTCATCATCATTCCTGAGGTAAGTAGGATGGGGCAGAGGTTTGGGAGGTTGTTAGCCACCCCCACAGGAGTGGCTGTCACCTGTGCAATGTGACATGCTGTCTGTTGATGAGAAGACAGGCAGGTGGACTCACTGGCTCTGCGCCAGGAGGATACACTCCAGCACCTTCTGGAAAGCAGCACGGGGACCATGGCAAGAAGGTGCCTTTCAGAGCAGACCCGAACTTGACTTCAACCATTACTTACTCTTGGTATTTATCACAAGATCACTTTCCTGCTCTGAGGCTCAGTTTTCTCATCTGAAAAGTGGGACTAATTATGCCAGCTCTGGGAAGGTTCTAGATTGTGAATATGAAATACATCATAAGCCTTCCAAAATGAGGGACACTGCTATCCACTCTATGTAGCGTGCCTCCCAACCTCTGGCGGGCTGGTGGACCATGTGGATAGGCCAAGTGGACAGAGAAACAAACAGGGTAGAAAGCACAGGGTCAGGTGTCCGTGGCATGCAGAATGAGGGCAAGCGTGAAAGGAACACGTGCTACCAGAGGCTGCCGGGCAGGGGTTGGGGAGGGGGCGGTGGCCCAGGCGGTGGGTTTAGTGGCTATCCTGGAATATCAGGGTGCGGGAGTCAAGGAAGGCAAGAAGCTTAGTGACAGTGTCCACAGCCTGGAGGGTACCAGGGGAGGAGTGAGAGGGCTTGAACCACAGACCTTTAAGTTGAGGGACCCGACTGACTGGCCTTCCCGGCAGTCCAGCTGCGGGCTGCTTCTCGGATGGCTCCAGAAGGCTAGCCTCTTGGGTGTCCTTTCCCACAGAGGGGCCCTGGGCCTGTTGCTCCTCTCCAAGGGCCCCCACCAATGTCGCCCCTTCCAAATCCTGCTCCTTCGGCATGCTGGCTTTGATTTCCACGTGGAATGTGAACTCTGGGGCAGCCTCGTGCCCTTCCTCCATGGGCCCTGTGCCAGGCCCTTCGGGCTGCAAGGCCTGGGTCTCTGTGGAGACTTTGGAGAGGAAGTCAACAGGAAGTGGCACGGCACCTGGGAGCCCAGGCGTGCCGGTGGTTTCCCTGGAGACAGGCTGAGGGGCTGCCCTGCCTGGGTCCAGGGGCGCCTGGGAGGGAGGGGACTCCTGGGACGATTCATCCACGTCTAGATCTTCATCCGCCTCCTCCTCACTCCCCAGCCTGTCTTTGCCCCATCCCTCCTTCAAAGGAGGCTCTTGCTGCAGCAGCTCAGAGGGCCGGTGGCTTCTCTCTACGTCCTCAGGTCTTGTCCCCGAAGGTTGGCACGTAGCCTCTCTGAGGCCTTGTGGCAGGAGGGGAGCCCCAGGCACACTAGGCACCGGTTGGCAGATCCAGTCAGAGATCCCTGAGTCTGGAGCCTGGCCTTCAGGGCGCCCTGGCTCGCCAAGCAAACTTTCTGGGAAATTCTGGACCTTCTCCGGCTCTGTGTGGAGATATCCAGCAGAGGGGGGGCTTCAGAACAGGCAGGCCCACCTTGACAGGCTCTGGGCTCCACTCCTAGATGGGCTCCTGAGGACCAGCTGGTGGAGGAGGGGCTGGGCAGGTGGGGTGCTTCTGGGGACAGCGAGTGATCACCAAGCCTGGTGTTTTTTAAACCAGATCTAACTGTGTTTTACTTAGAGGTGCCAGTGAGATCCCAGAAACTTCGGTGCTCAGTCCAGGCCGGACTTGAACACTAAAGTTCCTGCTCAGGAGCCTCTCAGACACCTCTCTCTGCTGCCTAGACACTCTTACCTCCTCAGGGCTTGAAGAGGCAATGGTGGCAAATGGTTAACAAGGGTACAGACATTTTAAAGGGGACTGTAGTACTCGCCATAATAAAAGTCCCCTCAAAGGTACCAGGACTCTCCCAACAAAGACAGGAGCTCATCTGAGGCCTAGTTCATTGCTTGGAAGAAATGCTCTCTTGGTCTGTCTGCCACTAGCTTGCTGCATGGCCCTCTCTGGGCATCAGTGTTCTTGTCTGTGAAAGGGAGACTTGGACTTGGTGACCTCTGAGGCCCTCTGGTATTTGGCTGGGCAAGAGCCTGCTGGCATCTCTGTGGCTGTCCAGGATGTGGTTATGGGCTCAGACGCATGCTTACCTACCACTCACAGAACTCAAGTTCCTGGAGATGCTGGGCTCCAGGTGGCCTTCGCTGGGTTATGACAGTGGTCCCTGCTCTCCCTGTCTCTGTGTGTGTCTCTCTTCTCCCTTTGTGCAGGTGGAACCAACGGGCATCATAAATTACCTGACCTCCAGCCCTGCTCTGATTTGGAAGATTCACAAGCCATGATTGCTGGCGTGGAGCTTTGTTGACTGACCTGCCGTACGATTCCTCTCCGTGGAACTGCAGCACACGGATGGCTCTGTGGTCACCCTTCATGGCCTGCCTTCTGCCCCAGCTAAGGCAGGAGCCATGGGACCCCTGCTCTAACTGCTCAGCCAGCACACCGCCCACCAGCTCAGCTGTTCTGAGCCCATTGTTGTTATTTGGATCAGTCACGTGATAGCCGTGTAAAACCCTCTTTAGAGTACCGGGTTGTGCAGTATGGATGGACGTCCACTTGAGTCGTACTGAGCTCTTCTGAGCACCCTCTGCTTCTGCTGATTGCTTGTTTGGGACAGGGTCTCCTGTACCTGAGGCTGGTGTCAAACTCACTATGTGGCCAAGGATGACCTTGAACCCCTGATTCTCCTATCTCCACTTTCCAAGTGTTGGGATTACAGGCACGTGCCGCCACACTTTGCGTAATTCCGAATTTTCTGAACAGCCTACCTGGTTCCAACAAAAGGTCTCAAACAACTCCCCAATTCTCCTCTAACAAAGCCTATAACCTCAAAGGTTTTGGGGATATAGAAAAGAAATTTGGGGGAGAGAAGAAGAGAGGAGAACATGTGTGTCCACATGCATGTGTAACTCTGGGCACACACACAAGTAACATGTACACTAAACCGCTGTCTCTAACCCAGTGGTACTCATTGCGGCTGGCTCACTATCAAAGGACCCAACTCCGGCCTGGTCCTTTCCTTCCTTATTATGCCAGATTGAGTTCACAGTTACATTCATTTATGGTCCCAGTGTCAAGGCTGTCATATGACAGCTAATCAATAAATACACCCTGATTAGAACAGCTACTGTCACAAAAAGCACCCATTCTGCTCCTTATCAGGTTTCTTACTGAGGCTGTTGGTCTGTCTCAAGTAGAGACAACAATTAAGACAGAAGTGGGAAACCGGCGGGGTCTGGCTACCCAGTACCAGCCAGCTCACGGACCAGAGGCCAAGACGGTTACAAGCCAGACTTGGGCCTCCACTACCTTCCAGAAAATGCTCCCTGGAAATTATTTTTGGCTGGGATGTCCTGGGGTCTGATACGCTGCAAGACCTTCAAAGACTCCATTCAAGTCGAGGGGCTGCAAACATACACAGTAAACACGCACATAGTAAGCAGACTTACTGTGTGTGTGTGTGAGCTGATGAGGGACCCATTAAAACACCCAGCGGGAGGATCTGGGCTGGGAGAATCATCTTTGCTTGATACTGTAAACTACTCAGCAAACATGAAACAGGGGCCAGAATGCAGTTCTGTTCTCCCTGTTAAGCTCGGGGTTTGATCTCCAGCAGGGCATAGATTGGGTGTGGTGGTCTGTACCAGCAACCTCAGTAAAGTAGAAGCAGGAAGGTCAAAAGTTCAAGGTCATCCTTGTAAGCTATTGAAGGCCAACTGGAGCGAGAGAGGACTTTATCTCAAACAAACAAACAAAAACAAACAAACCTGAACCATTTAAAACTCTAGGAGTGGTGGAGGGGCACAAGGGAAACGGGATCCTGACAAAGTGTTCCCCCTAACTCCTCAGGAGCCTAGCATCCGAGTCACCAAAAGGGGGATGAACTAGGCTAGAGGCCAGTGAGGCACAGTCCTTCACAGACAGACAGCGCCGCTAACGGGAGACAAATCCTCTATCACTTTATAGAGCGAAGGACGCGGCTTCCCAGGTCATCTGTTGTCTGTAAGTCTCCCTGTTATACAGGACGCTCAAGTCTGTTTATCCAAAAAATGATAGGAAACAAGTCAGCTCATGCTGTATCTATACTGGAGGTCTCTATTTCCTAAAATCAAGACTCTAAGGTTTTAAAAATTCCTTTTAAAAAATGTATTTTTGATCAACAGCTGCAGAAAGCTACTTGCCTTGAAAGCAGCACTTTGATCCCTGAGAAGAACATTATAATGAGGCATGAAGAAGCCACAGAGAAGCCGGGTGGTGGCACACACCTTTACTTTCATCCCAGCACTTGAGAGGCAGAGGCAGGCGGATCTCTGTGAGTCTGAGGCCAGCTTGGGCCACAAAGTGAGTTCTAGGACAGCCAAGGCTACAGAAACATCCTGTCTCGGAAAAAAAAAAAAAATAGAAGGAAGCTTAAATGGTCAATGGTGATGTGATTGACAGGTCAGAGGGCGCTGTGGGAGCATCACCCACTGTGCTCATGCCCAGGCAAGGGCTGTTTCCTGCAGTACCCCAGCCTGACACACACCGCGGCAATGAATCAGAATGCCATTAGAAAACTCCGTGTGTAATAAATAAATACAACTCCCCCGGGTCCCCCGGACTTGTAAATTAGGACTCAGGGCTAATATGTCTTTTCAAGGTAGAGCCCGCTGAGTGCTCCCAATTCCCTCCTCCCGAGCTCTGAGTCTCCTAGGGGTGGTTTGGACCACTGACCTTGAGTCACGTGCCCAGCGGCTTGGTCCTCCAGGTTCGGGGTGTCTCCAATGCCTGCTTCTTCAGCTGGTCCGAGGCAGCAAAGGGAGGACAGAAGCAGACAGTTACTACTTGCTTCAACCTGTGCCCTCTGTACCTCGTGTGGAACCATGCAGGAGGGGTGTGCCCTGCAGGGCTAGCTGCTGTGCTCCGCTCCTCCGCAAAGGCCTCGGCTAGGGACAGTGGTGATGAGAGGTGCTCACACAGAACCCACAGCACCCACACACCTTCCAGGTGACTGCGACCTAGGAGGAAAGAGCTTCTCAGCAGGGGTCCAAGGTCCTGCTGTTTTGCCTGACTCCACAAAGCTGTCAGGACTCAGGAGACCAGAGAGGATTCACAGCAGCACCACTTGCCTGGCCTCTCTGAGCCTGTATCCTCATTGGGAACCTCAAGAAGATTGGGGTTTGTCTTGTAGGAGGATAGCGAAGGTATGGAAAACAAAGTCTCACACACAGGAGGTGCCCCAGGCTGCCAAGTTTCTTCCCTCTACACCCCACACACACCACACCTGAAACCAGCACTACCTGGCTGGGAGCAAGGCCAACAGGCCCAGTGGGCAGCCTTTCTGGGTCTCTGCATTTTTTAACCATTTAAGGAGATGACAGGCACCCCAAATAAAAAAGGCTGAGAAAGTCCCAGAGCACACGAGAAGTATTCAAGTGAGTACGCTCTTATCTGGAGAACACGGGAGAAATCAGGACACGGCTACGGGATGGCACACACACAAGTCCAGAGGTGGGGTTTATAAAGCAAGCCAGCCCACGCTGATCTCAAGGCCTCGAGGCGCACACACCACAGGCTGCCGCCTTCCAGAAGTGCTCACACCATGCAAGGTTGACCGCCAGCCTTGTCTCTGGACTAAGGTGCACAGCTTTTGTACCTAAAACTGCAAGCCAGTTTTTACTTCACTTGCCACGGACAGCACAACAAGGAAAGAGCCTGAGTCACTGCATAGTCACATGGTGTCCGGTAAGCACCTAGCCAGATGGCTAAGTGAGGGTGGGGCCCCAGGGAGGCAGCAGGGAACCTGGAAATTCTCCACCCACCAATTATCAGCTCAGACACGTCTAGGTCCTTTGTGCTCCCCAGAAGGTCTTTTTGGTGACAGTTCCGTGTCAGATAACACAGCCATGGTCACATTGCTTCAACTGTCTGTGAAGGCAAAGTCCTAGTGTGGATTTGGTCTGAGCAAGATTACGGAAATGGAAGACAGGCTCAGAATGGTGGCAAATCCTGCTAGGTAGTCACGGAGTCCTTAGCAGACATAAGGGGGCATTCTGGGACTCAGTCAGTGTCCCAACACCAGGAGAATCTACTCATCTTCCATGTCCTGCCCTGGGTGTGAAACCCAAACGGTGTATCACTCCACGGTGGGGTGGAGGAGCATTTTCAGGGAGACAGGCTTTCCGCAGTGGAAGTCACACAGCATGGTTGGGCAGCTTTACTGTGCACTAAGAAGTATCAAACAGGTGTTCAAGTGAGTACAAGGGGAGGCACCAGCTCCACCAACAGCTGCAAACCTGCTCGGCTCTAAACCCACCAAGAGGTGAATGGCCTGGTGCTGGAGTGCTCCATAGGGTCTTGGCATGTAGCCCATACTGGCCTTGCATTCACTATGTACCCCAGGCAGGCCTTGAACTCTTGAACCTCCCACCTTAGTTCTCAAGGGCTAGGATAACAGCCCCGTGCTGGCCTGCCTAGCTTGTCTCCGTGGTCTTCAAGGCACTACCTAGAGACAGATACTTGGCATCTGTTCCCTCTGGCTTGAGATCTGGTGGACTGCAGTCAGGGCCCTGCCAAGGAACACAACAGGACAGGGGAGGGCTGGCCCTGCTATGGTGGCTGAACAAAAGGCCATTGCAATAGCCTGCTTTGCAGCCAAGATGGATGGCTGTTTTTTCCCGTGGAATTTTGGGCACAGGTCAGAGATGACATTGGAGCATCTTAGATCATGCCCAATGGGTCACTAGCGGCAATGAGTCATCCTGCGCAGAGGTGGCGCTGTGTGCAGCTAGATCCCTGAGAGGAGGGATGACATCCTCCAGAACCCAAAGCAGAGGCATCGATCTTTAAAGAAGCAGGAGAGGGAAGGAGAGGGAAGATTCTGGAAGGGTTCAAGAAAGGGCTCTGTGGTGGGCAATCTTCACAGTCATCTGACCTGCATTTGGAACCACCTCGGGGACAGCTGAGTGCACCAGGTGGCTGTGTCTGAAGGTATGTATCGGTAGGACTCGCTGAGTGAAGACCTATCGCGAATGTGGGTGGCACCGTCCCATGGACCCGGGTGGAGGCAGTAAGGACAAAAGGGGATGAAGGAGAAAACATGCCGATGCTACACTCGTCTGCTCCCTGTCCGCACCACGTAAGGCTGCCATAATGCCCTGCCCCAGGCTGCGGACTTGAAAGACCTGGATAAATCCAGACCTCCCCAGCAGGAAGAAAATAGCCAAAAATCCAAGCAGGAAGAGAAGAATCAAAAATCTAGGGATTAGCTGGTTCAGTGACTGTGTTTCAGGAACTAGCTGAAGATAAACTTAGATTGTAATCTTGAGAATAATATTGAGAATCAGGGAGTTTCCCCCTTGTGATTTTAGGAACTAGCTGATTATGACCTTGAGTGATCTTGAGAGGCAGGGAGTTGTCCCCTTGTGACTTTCTGTGACACCCTCCCTGCCCCTGTTATTGGGCTGTGGTTTTCTCCTATAAAAACCCCTTCTCCAGGTCACTCGGGGTCGAACACTTCCCCTGCTTGGGTTATGAGTCTCGGCCCCAGTGCTCTGGTTCCCGTCTCATCACTTAAAGCCTCTGTGATTGCAGCAAGGATGGTCTCTCGTGAGTTACTGGGGGGGGGTTCGTGTTATCCCGAGACTTGAGTGAGAGTCTCCCCGCACCGGGGGTCTTTCGGACTCAAACAACTAGGAACCCTCTGAGCCCATGAACTAAAATAAGGCTTTCCTCCCAGAGTCGTTTCTGTCAGGCATCTGGATACATTTGAGAAGCTAGTGCAGTCTCCAGGAGAGGAATGGAAGGCAGCCGCTGCCTCCTCCTACACACCAGCCCCACTGGCCCAGAGTAGGGGCTGGGTTAGAACGTGGCTGTGGGCCTGACTATCACATCAGACTGGGCCTTCTGATGAACCGTTCTAAGCTGTGGGTTTTTTTTTCTTTTTGCCCCGCCCCATCATACTCAGTTTATAACATGGTAGGGATCAAGGCCTTGGGTCTCACATATAGTAAGCCAGGCACTCTACCAGGCTACATCCCAGCCTTTTGTAGGCTGTTTTGTGAGCGTGAAGAGTATAAAGCATTTCTGATTACCCAGGAGAGATGAGAAAGGGGAGAGTTTTCATCCCAGACAGAAGACAAACTTCGTCCACGACAAAACTTTGAAGGGATAGCCAGAGACAAAAATCAAGGCACCCACGACCTCACCCTATAAGGTGTTCTGTAGCCTTCAAGCATCTTTCATGCTTGAAGCTGAGGCCTGGCCAGGCTTTCAGAACATCTGGTCTACCTGCCTCGGAAACCCTTACTGCCAGTCCATCACTTTGCAGAGTGGAATCACATCTTGAGAGACGGGGATGGCACTGCTGGCTCTGTAATGAGCGTTCTCAGGACGCGAGGGAGAAAGCTTACTATGGTGGCAGTGTTTACTCTGCAGAGTCAGCTCCTCTGGGAGGAGCCGCACCTCTCGGTGTGTCTTTGAGGGGTATTCACAGAACGATTAACTGCAGCGGGAAGACCTACCCTGCGTATGGGCAGCGCCATCCCGTGGGCTGACGTCCTGGGGGAAAAGGAGGAAGCATGAGCACCAGCATCCATCTCTCTCTGCTTCCTGATTGCAGAAGCAACGTGACCAGCGTCATGGCCACCGCTGCCACCATGCCTTCCCTGTCACGTGGACCCCATCCCCTCAAACCATGAGCCCAGACAGACCTTAAGCTACTTCTGTCAAACATTTGGTCATCACAAGGAAAAGAATAACTAACTAGCATGGTTGCAGAGAGCCGTCCTCAGGAAGGGACATTTCCCATCTCCACTGCCACTGTCCCATGCACATAGATTAGATAGTTCTCGGTAGGTAACCGGACGCCTCAGGTTCACCATACTAACTGCCAGAGCTTCATGAGCCCGTGGAAGAGGAAACATGGGAAGGATACCCGGGGCTCTGGGCTGTGAGGAATCTTGTCCAGGGCCCTGCACAGGTTGCCTTATGAATGACTGAGCAGCGCCAAGCCCAGCATTCTTTCTGCTGGTGTGCTTGCTGACTGATCAATTCCCCCATCGTCCACAGGGGTGGGGCAGGATACAAAGACCCGCCTCTTGCTACAGCCGGAACTGGAGAAAGTGCGAGGAAGGCAGAGGTCTATCCTCTACAGAGAATCTTGCTGAGGACATCTCAAATAGACATGTTGACTGAGGCAGGATCCAGCAGGAAACAGGGGATCCTGCACCCTTGTCTAGACTCCAAGGCAGCCGTTGCTAACTAGCCAAGATCCCCAGAAGCCAGAGTCACTTACACATCTGCCTGTGAGGACGACCCGCTCAAGGCGGGCAACTGGGCCCTGGCAGCCCTGGGGCTCTAAGAGCCGCCCTCACCTGTGGTTCCTTCTGGGATCTCCGCGTGGGGCTGGGCAGCGGCCTGCTTGTCGGAAGCTCTCTCTTCCACTAGGGGTGCAGTCACGTCTGGAAACCACCGATAGTCACCCTTCTGTTTAGTATACAGTGCAGGGACAGGGCCTGCCAGCCACATGCAAGAAAAGCCAGCTCAAAGCAGGGCCGCAGCCCTCCTCCCTTTTCCCCAGGAGGAAGTGAGGCACCAAGCCACCTGCCTAGAAAGCCCAGAGGGGGCCATGTAAGTACTACAGCGGACGGACGTATTCTGATTCCCCGGGGGTTCTAAAGAGAACTGGTGAAATCCTGAGGGCAACTGTGACGTCCTTATGGCAAGGCAGGGTGTCTGCAGTGGGCACCCAGGCAGTGTGAGGAAGCTGAGGAGGAGATGAGGCTGTGGTTGTCCTGTGAGGCTTGGGGCAAGCACTCTGTCACCTCTGAACCTCTGTTTCTGCATTTACAGAACGGCAGTGCCACCTCTTGGTGACCTCGTTGGTGCACCAGTTCTAACTCCCTGCCGGGCCAACCTCCAGTGAAAAGGTACAGAGTTCCCTATGCGGCAATAACTGGGCCAGGTCCTGTGTGGAGTCCAGCTGCAGGCTAGGAGCTGGGGGCAGCATCTCTTCAAGGGAAACAATTCGACTCAGAAGTTCTCTGGAGCCCTCTGTCTCTCCACCAGGCATGCCGGGCACGCACACCTGAGGAGTGGGCAGCTCTGAGAGATTCCCAGAATTCCACAAAAGCCATTTTCACTACGATCCTCTCCAGTGCAGATAAAACTCCAGACTGCACGAGCGGGAGCTTCTCCCAGGACAATGCCCACAGAGCTGCACCGAGGGCTGTGTCTGGGAAGCCGGCACCAGGTTCGGCATCGGGTTTCAGGGCTTTCTCGGGGTGGCAGACAGCTTGCAGAACCGTCCTAACAGGAAGAGCAGGAAATGTCTTGCATTACTGGTTCTGGCAGGAGGATCTCACCAGGCCTTGCCGCCTGCATCCTTCAAGGATGAGCCAGCGTACTGAGGAATTGGCAGGAGCTTGGCAGCCGTGTTCTGGGCTTATCCAAAGGCAGATGCGGAGGCCAAATTCTCCTTCTCTAATAGAACTCCCAAACAACGCGCAGGGCTGCAGGAAGGTTTCTGAGTGGACCTTCCAGCCTCCTTGGAAGGTTCGAGAGACAGAAGGACAGGATTATGGACGGTTAGTTAGAAGTCGTCCTCAGCGTCCTTTTCCTTGGATTTCTTCTACTCAATGGGTTGAAAAACAAGATGCACAGCACCCCCAGGCTTGCTGGCCGGAGACCCGGTTCTGGCCCATGAATGCAAGCGGAAACTGCTTGGTTGAGCTCATACAAAACTCTCAGTTTCTTAATTCTGGCCACACATCTGGCTTTGGGGTTCTTTAGGCTACTTTGTTCTTTTTTTAAAATTCCATTCATCATCATTATTATTATTATTTTGATTTTTTTGAGACAGGGTTTCTCCTTTAGGCTATTTTGTTCTTTTTTTTTTAATTTTCCTTCATTATTATTATTATTTTGATTTTTTGAGACAGGGTTTCTCTGTGAAGCTCTGGTTATCCTGGAACTTGCTCTGTAGACCAGGCTGGTCTCAAACTCAGAGATCCACCTGACTCTGCCTCTGAGTGCTGGGATTAAAGGCGTGCGCCACCACCCAGCTCTCATTCATTATCATGGGACATGTGGGTAATGTGCCCATGTGGGCATAGGCCCTGATGACATGGGGAAGCTGTTGTCTCCTTTACACAGCTTCCGGGGATCGACCTCGGGTCACCAGGCTTGCAGGATGAGCACTTTTACCCTCTGGTCATCTCACCAGGCAGAGTTCTTGGTCCCAAGACAGATACAGTGTTTGGGAGTGCAGCGGCCATCTTTCAACTACGAAGCAACAGCCGACCGCCTAGGATGGCAGGAGATAGTAAGAAGCACACAGATGACACTGGGGAGCTGTGTTCACGTGCAGACATCTCATGACATGATGCAGGACTAACAAACCTCTTCAGTTAGAACGGCTTCCTGTTTCCTGCAGCCAAACACAGGAGTCTTTTCTTTTTCCCCCTTTTCCAAGACAGAGTTTCTCTGTTTCTCTGTGTGTAGCCCTGGCTGTCCTGGCCCTCCCTCTGTAGTCCAGGCTGGCCTCGAACTCACAGAGATCCTCCTGCCTCTGCCTCCCGAGTGCTGGGATTAAAGGCGTGCGCCACCACTGCCCAGCGAAATGTGGTGGTCTTGACTGACCCACATGGGAAGCATTTCGGGAAAAAGACAAGCAGCTTCATGACAACCCAGACACCAAGTATCTGGAGTGGACAGATCAGAAGAGATAAAACATACTCCATGTGCAAAGTCCAGAGCCCAAGAAAGCATTCCTAACACATGGGCAGGGAGATGTCTGACCTGCCCCCCTCCTCAGCCAAATGAGTATTCTGGGCCCTGGTTGATGCCTGCAAGAAAAGTAAGGGGGGGGCTGCTGAGGGGGTCATAGAGGGTAGTAGATACAGATGGGAACCCTACCGAGCAGTGTATGAGCCCCGCTGTGCCGTGCAGCCCAGCTTCTCCAAGCATGGAACATCTAGAACACGCACAGGATGAAGACGATCAAGGCACACAGTTGAGCCAAGCGCAGAAGCAGGGCCCAGCTCCCAAAGCACTGCCCTGCCAAGCGCCTAGCAAGCTCAGTCAGCCAGCACACAGGAAGCAACGAATGCAGCCCAGAGGGTAGCTCAGAGCAAGGGAAGCACAGGCTGAAGGCCCTGGTGGGAGTAGGGAGGCCCCACCTTCAGCGGTTGGAGTGCTCTTAGCCTCAGAGGTCTCGGACCCTGGTTCCTCCGATCCGTCATCGGCGGGGGGCTGTGGGGGAGACTCTGGAACATATACAGTGAGCCCTCAGACCTCAAGAGGAACCTTCGGTGTGGATGCTGTATCTTCATGATGAAACCATGAAGGGACCAGCCCCCCCCCCCCAACCATACTCCACTCCCTGGGGTCCCCGGATAAAGATGTGGGTGATGTGTGTCTGTTCCTGGGTGGGAGAAGACAAAGCTTTTAGTCACTCTGGTCCAGCTGAAGCAAAGGCTCTTATACTGACAGCCTGGCAGTGGATCTAGAAAGCCAGTCCCTGCATGCTCAGAAAAGCCCTTTCCCGTGGCCTCGGCCACCTTCAGGTCACAGCGTGAGGAGCTCAGCTCAGTGACCTCACCTCGGTGCAGTAAAAGTCCCCGCTTTCGTGCATGTATTGGCCGAAGGGTTTCATATGCTAACTCTCCTGGGCCTTTGTAACCATGGCTATGCTTAAAGCATGTATTACGAAAGCTATTTGCCCAGCATGTGAGACCCACCATAGGTGGTGGTCATTCTGTGTGTCTTATTTGGCCTTGGTTAAGGGCTCACGGTAGCACTGTGTGTCAACAGGAATGCACAAGGCTCTTCTTCCTTCCTTCCTCCCTCTCTCCCCCTCCCTTTCTTCCTTCCTTCCTCCCTCCCTCCCTTCCTTTCTTTCTTTATTGGTGCTGATGTTGACTGGGAATCCCCAGCTGCCCACTGTATCCGATGGACAAACGACTCTGGCCATGGGGAAAAGTCCTGTATCACCTCATGCTCCTCAAGAGATTAACACCCACACCAGGTGCAGTCTGAGCACCCACCAGCTGACAAAGAGGGGCCCACCTGGAGCCCATTCAATCTAATTCAGGTAGAATTCAGGCCAGAGCTGTGCTTAGCTAGGAGGCTACATCCTCCCGACTCAAGAGACATCTTGAAGATGGGAGCCATACACTCCCAGTTTTCTCAACCATGTGAAGACTGAGAATGATTCTCAGCTAGCTGGCTACACACACACACACACACACACACACACACACACACACACACACGAAGTTGCCAAGGGTGTGGTGGTGCACGCACTTTAACCCTCACACTCTGGAGGCCGAGGCAGGTGGATCTCTGTGAGTTCAAGGCCAGCCTAGTTACGTAGTGAGTACCAGGATAGTTAGGGCTATATAGGGAGACCCGGTCTCAAAAAACTCTTCCCTGGGGGGCTGGAGAGATGGCTCAGTGGTTAAGAGCATTGCCTGCTCTTTCAAAGGTTCTGAGTTCAATTCCCAGCAACCACATGGTGGCTTACAACCATCTGTAATGAGGTCTGGTGCCCTCTTCTGGCCTGCAGACATACAGACAGAATATTGTATACATAATAAATAAATATTTTTTTAAAAAAAACTCTTCCCTGTCCTTGGTGATGACTGGACAAAGAGGGGAACATGTTCAGGTGATAAAGCCGCTGGAGGCAAACCGGAGGCTTGTGTCAAGGAAATCCAGACTAAGTGAGATAATGCGAGGTCCCCAGGGAGCTACGGGATGTAAAGTCTGGCCAGGGCTGTGATGAACCAGCGGGCAGGGAGCACCGAGCGCGGATGGCGCTTGCTACGTTGCAGGGCTGCTGGGACATTCAGTGGAGGACAGATGCTGCCCCTTGGGCAGCGGTGAGACTCTGGGGTGATGCAGGGGAGCTGGTTCTGTGTACAAATCAGCGCACAAAGAAGGAAGGCAGATGGTGTTCAAATACAGTGAGCGACGAGACGCTTCACAACCTCACAGTCAAAGAAGGGCCCTTGATATTGTCTTTACCACAGTGTCTCAGGTATCCTACGCTGGCTTCGAACTCGCTTTGTACCCCCATCCTAATCATTTACATTATCCTCAGAGGGAGGGAGGAAGGAGAAGAAGCCCCTACCCCGTGCGAAGGCCTGGAAACTAACACATAAGCACCTTCTAATTCAAGAGTGTGTGACCACACGTGTGTGACCACCTGCCCCACCCACAGCCTCTCTGGCTACATCTAGCTTTTAGCACCCACTTAGACACTCTCTGCTCTCACCATTATTCCAAACAGCCTTTTGTCATTTTCCTGAAGTGTTGTTAGAACTGTGATCCTTTCTGCAAGGCAGAGAAACTCCACACCTACAAACAGCCCATCCTAAACCCTCAGCAGCAAGGCTAAATTTGACGAAAATCTTAGGTTTCTTTGGCTCTTTTGGGAGAGCACAGTTATGGGTAGGACAACACACTTTTGTTTCACAGTACCTTCCAAGGGGTAGCAATTTCATTCTCTCTCTCTTTGTGGCATATTAGTATAGAATAATTTTGCTGGATTTTGTTTTGTGAAGAGGTATAGAGAGTGTTATCATAGAAACTGTGCCTGTGTGTGTGTGTGTGTGTGTGTGAGAGAGAGAGAGAGAGAGAGAACCCCCAAAACTCCCAAATACATGCACACAGTGAAATGGACAACCAGTGGCCAAGAGGACTATATTACAGACTGCAGTTTTAATGAATTAAACTAAACTTGAGAAGTGCTTTAAAAATTAACTTCTATTATTTTTTATTCATGTACGTGTGTGTGAATCCGGAAATGCCACATAAATACAGGTGTTAGCTCCCCGAAGCTGGAGACAACAGATTTTGTGGGCTGATGGCTGTGGGTGCTGGGGACCAAACTTAGGTGCTCTGGAAGAGCAGCAAGTGCTCTGATCCATTGAACCGCCTCTAAGACAGTCCAAGACGGGGTCTCTCTATGCAGTCCTGGCTGAACTGAAACTCAATGTGTAAACCAGGTTGGCTTTGGACTTGCAGCAATCCTCCTGCCTCTGCCACTTGAGTACTGGAACTACCGACCAGCGGCACCGTGCTGTGCCCCACTGCTGAGGAAGTTCATTAATGTAGATATACTCAGAACCCCAGAGGAATCTATTCTTCCCAGATGGCCAGATAGCCGGGTTTGTGTAGCTAAGGGTCCGACGGTCCTGGAGAGCTGAGAGTGACAACTTCCCCCCCAGTCTTTGTCGCACTGTCTGGGGAGGTGAATTCGCAAACATGCGTTTTGACTTTTCTTAGCCCACTCAAACTAATGATCTAATACGACAAATTATGAACCGTTCCTTTAAAAAAGTGGGACTTGACCCCCCTCTTGCCAATCAGACACGGACTGTGTTCCACTGTGATTGGCCCGCTGTGCATGGCTGTTCACTGACCTTTTAAGCCATTGTCCATGTCTCCTTCCTGGTCTTGGAGCAGAGTGTAGCCCTCAGCATGATCTTCCATTGTGTCAAACTCCTGGCGGGGTTCAGCCATACTGGTTCAAAGCCTGGAGAAGAACAAGGCAAGAGAGAGAGTTATGGTTGGGATGCTGAGCCCAGGGACCTGACTTCTTAGGACAGTAGAGTTGGGGAACAAGGAGAGAGGCAGCCTTCCTCCCAAGTCACAGTACGAGGACCTCAGTTTCCTCACTCACTTCCCATTCAGGAGACTGATGCTCGGTCTCTCTGAGTGGCCAATGTCCCTGTCAGTCATCTGCCATCTTATTAGCTCATATCCAAAGCCACCAGGTGACGCGGCTGACCTGTGGCCATCCCCTGCTCTTTCCACGTCGCTGGGAAGTGCTGTTGACTAGTGAGTAGCTCAGCAGTTGTGGAGGGAAGGTGATTGCCGGCCTCTTTTGTCAGGAAAGAGTGAATGGCGTTGTTCTGTGAATGCCAACGGACTGTAAACCAGCTCTGCAAACCTCTGAGCTCAAGGGATGCCTCTCAGGCAGATGGTTGGGACTACGGCCTGCCAGGGACCATGGCCTGTCTGGCTATCGGCTAGTTAATACCATGCATGCTCAGCATGGATCTTTTATTTTTTAAAGTATTTAAAAATTTTTAATTCATTTTTATTTTATGTGCATTGTTGTTCTTTGCCTATATGTATGTCTGAGTGAGGGCTTCAAATCTTGGAGATACAGACAGTTGTGAGCTGCCATGTGGGTGCTGGGAATTGAACCCGGGTCCTCTGGAATCATAGCCAAGTGCTCTTAATGGCTGAGCCATCTCTCCAACACCTGAGCCTGTATATATTATTTTTTTATATCTGTAAGCCACACCCCTACTCCAATCTCAGCTCCTATCTCTGACTCTGGAACTCCTTTTATGGATTGCTGAGACAGGGTCACAGGTATTCTAGGCTGGTCTCAAACTAGCTACGCATCCAAAGATGGCCTTACACTTCCACCTCCCGAGTTGTTTACATAAACTAGTTACCACCGTGCCTGGCCACGCAGTGCTAAGGGTGGAATCCAGGGCTCTGCTTCCTAGGCAAGCCTCTACAACTGGGCTATATGCCAGGCCCCCAGACAGGGAAGATGGGCACAAAGCCAAGGGAGCACTTTTGCAGAGAGAACCATCTTCCCTTTGGACCCCAGGTAGCGCCCTGCCTTGCATCTAGACGGGAAGATTTGCCTCCGCCATGGCAGCCAGCACCCTCCTCCAGCCCCTGCCTGTCCACTCGGTCAGTGATGAGCAGACTAAATTGCAGGACATAGCGGTGTCTGGAGGAGGGTGAAGGGACTGGGTTAGACCCTGCTCATCCCCAGGGACAGCACCAAAGAGCTGTCCTAAGGTGAACTTGGCAGCGATGAGCAGGGTTAACGGGAGAGTAAGAGTGCTTGCTGGCAGGGAGGTGACGGCCATGGTCCCGGGGGAAAGTTTAAGGGCCAGAGCTAGATGGTGGGCAGAGAAGATGGAAAGGAAGGTGTAGGCTCAGGGAGTGCACCTTAGAAAGCGGTAGACTGACTTCCAAAGTTAGGCAGGAAGATTAGAGTCCCCAAGTGTACTTGAGGCAGGGGCCTGGTTGGCTGGGCAAAGAGGGGTAGGGTGGAGGGACACCATGGGGACAGGAGAAGGGGCTGGACAACAGGGCAGTTCTGTTGAGAGACAACGTCCCTTCTCCAAGGCTACAAGGTCCTACTCGGCCATTCCGCTCACTTTGTCTGAATTGGGTTTCTGCTGCCGTGATAAAACACCATGCCCACAAGTGACTTGGAAAAGGAAAAGGTTATTCCATCTTTTAACTCTCAGGCCACACACCGCAGAGGGAAGCCAGGGCAGGAGCCCAAGACAGCAACTTCAAGGCAGGAACTGAAGCAGAGGCCGTGGAGGAACTACATTTACTGACTTCATCGGCACGGCTTGCTCAGCCTACTTTCTTCCACAACTCAGGACCGTCGCCCAGGGGTGGCACTGCCCACAGTGGGCGGGGTCTAGTCATGCCAATCATCAGTCAAGAAGATACCCCTGTAGACTCGCCTACGGGCACTCTGACGGAGCCAGTTTCTCAACTGAGGTTCCTCCTTTCATTAACTCTAGCTTGTGTCAAGTTGAAAAAGAAAACAAAGCAGAAACAACCGGAACACAACAAGCTTACACAATATGAATGTTTCTCCTGCCCCTTCTGACTTACATTAAAATTAAAATTTTCTCATGGATCTTTGTTTTTATGGAGTCTTAAATTTTTATTTATTTATTTTTGGTTTGGTTTTGAGAGACAGGGCTTCTCTGTGTAAAGGAGCCCTGGTTGTCCTGGAACTTGCTTTAAAGACTAGGGGATTCTTTTTTTCAATACAGAGGTATTCCATTTTTTTTTTTTTTTTACTAAGTTACTGGTGTGTGTGTGTGTGCACCAACACACTTGAGAGGGTGCATGTGCTTATGTGTGCATGTGCAAATGGAGGCCAGAGGTCTATGTTAGGTGTTTCTCCTCATCCACTGTCCACCTTTTTTCTTTTCTCAAGACAGAGTCTCACTATGATTGACCTAGAACTTGCTCTGGAGACTAGGCTGGCCTTGAACTTACAGAGACCCACCTGCCTCTGCCACCCATGTGCTGGCATTTAAGGTGTGAGCCACCACTCACCGTGTATTTTATTTTTAATTATATTATCTTTTTAGCCATTGTGTGTGTGTGTGTGTGTAAGTGCATACGCACACTTGCATGTATGAATGCCACTTACGTATGCTTGGATGCTTCAGCATATGGCGGAGATGAGAGGACAACCTTGGGCATCCGTCTTTTCCCCACATTAATTGAGGGCGGGTCTCTTGCTGTCTTCCTGCTGTGTCCACCAGGCTAGGTCCTCTCTTTCAGCCATCCCCTGTCTCTTTCTCCAGTGTGCTGTAGGAGCACTATGATCACAGATAGTGTGCTAGCGTTGTCTAGCTCCATGTGGGGTCTAGGGATTTGAACTCAGGTCCTGATGCTTGTGCTTCAAGCATTTTGTGTACTAAGCCATCTCCTTAGCCTTTCATTTTACTTTTGAGACGCAGGTGAGGCTCAAACTCTCCATTGTCCTGCCTCAGCCTCCTGAGCACTAGGATTTCAAGTTTACATCACCCGTCTCTTCTCCGGTATATTTTTTTTCTAAAAAAAATTTATTTTATGTGCACTGGGTGTTTTGTCTGCATGTGTATCTGTGTGAAGGTGTCAGAGCCCCTGGAACTGGAGTTACAGACAATTGTGAGCTGCCATGTGGATGGGTCCTCTGGAAGAACAGCCAGTGCTCTTAACCATTTAGTCATGTCTCCAGGCCCTTCTCCAGTATATTTTCCTTTTCTTTCTTTCTCTTTCTTTCTTTCTTTTTTCTTTCTTTCTCTCTCTCTCTCTCTCTCTCTCTCTCTCTCTCTCTCTCTCTCTCTTTTTTGGTTATTTGAGACAGGGTTTCTCTGTGTAACACTCCTGGCTGTCCTGGAACTCACTTTGTAGACCAGGCTAGCTTCAAACTCACTGAGATCCGCCTGCCTCTACCTCCCAAGTGCTGGGATTAAAGGCGAGCGCCACCACCGTCCGGCTCCAGTATATTTTCAATACCCTTTCAAATAATAATAATAATAATAACAACAACAATAATTTAAACATAAATGAGTTGCCAGCAAGTATCCCTGCTCTGTAGTCTCTCCCTGAATTCTCCCACCCAAGCCCGACCCTGCTTAGATTCTGGGATCAGATGAGATCACTCACACTCAGGGTGGTATGGTCATGTTTCCTGTATCCTCAGTGTGGGCTTCTGCTTGCTTTCCATGTTGGGTTGTCTTCGGCTATTCCTAGAAGTTTCTATACATTCGAACTCCGGAGCTGGAGAGCCAAGCATCGCTCAAGCATTTGGGTGATGCCCCGGAGTTTGCCAGCTGGGGATGACGGTCCAAGGTGTGTCTGATTGGTCACTTGTCCCACTCGACCCTCTCAGACACGACCATCCACGCTATGACCTAATGATTCTTCTGCCCCTGCACACACCCCCAACATCCGCTCAGGGCTACAGAGGGCCAGACACACCCTCTGGAAGTGGGATGAATTACAGGGGTCTGAGCAGAAATTAAGTCATCCTTAAAAACACAGGCTACTATTCACTATGTAAAATAAACAAGCTGTGCACATCTCAAGGGCTGCTCCTTTCCTTTGTGGGGAATAGGAAAAACTGTATAAGTATGGAAGTCCCCCCAGTCCTGGGAGGGCAGCTGTCCTTAGGGGCCTGCTCCTTCTTTATACCATCCGGGCTGGGCTAGGTCAGCTGGGGATTTCAGGACCCAGGAGCCAAGCCAAGATGGGCATGTAGCTCCATGGTAGAACACTAGCTTAGCATGTACTGTGTTCCATCTGCACCATAGAAAAGGCAGGAGAAAGGGAGGAGAAGAGGAAGGGAGAAAGGGATGGTGAGGAAAGGAAAGAATGTTCTGGAACATCCTTGAGGGTCCATTGGACCAAAACCCCAGAAAGAACAGATCCCTGGTCCTTTCCCCAGCCTATGACCCACACTGATGACAGGTGCAGATGAGCCCCACTGGGCACCTGTCTAGGTTGATGCCTCAGAACCCCAAGACCGGGCATCAGAAAGTGCTTACCAGGTACCCGCTGAAGCAGGAGCTATTCACTGTGTGCTCCCCACAGGCCCCTGGGTGCCCTTGCAGGCTATCCCACTGACACTGCCATTTTCATCACATTTAATCACATGTAACACATACATTTTCCAGACCCTCCGAGGCCCGGGAATGCGTAGATGAAGCCCTCCTGTTTCCAAAGAACAGGGACTTCCCAGGCTGAAAGACACCAGCCCTTCTGTCTAATGGCCTGCAAGTCTACCGTACACCCCATCTGACATCTCAGGGGCCCTCTAAAGTGTCCGGAGGTGGACAAGGCAACCCCCAGCAGCTGACCCCCTCACTGGCCCCTTCAGAGCCCTCCTGGAGCCATGCTTGCTCTCCTCGGCATGTCTGCCATTTTCCCTGGGTTCCTTTCCACGGCAGAGCCGCTGAGCTCACTGGAAACCTTTAAGGG